TTCCAATCCCCATGAAGTTTCTAAAGTCTTTGGCTTGTGTTAGAATGTGAGACCCCACTGGCAATGTGCACAGCAAGAATTCATGAAGACCTGTTGATGTAAAAGACAGCTTTCACCTTAAAGTAGTGGTTTTCAACCTGTGGGTCTTGATCCCTTTGAGGGTCAAAAGACCATTTCAAAGGGGACACATATTGGATATCCTGCTAACAGGGACCTCTGAATTCAGGCAGGATGCTTATAGCAAGTGTGGGATATAGCTAAAGGAATCCAAGGGTAAAGGAAACGAATAGCTCACACATATCTTCTTACCGTGTTTCTTTATTTTCAAAAGTTCCCCCTCAGTCCCACAAAGTTTCCAGTTTATATACCCATACAGACACAATTGACACTTCTCTGGCAATAGCAAGGTGCCAGGCATGCATTGCTCAGGGCCAAGAAGACAAAGACTGATAAAGTGGATGCCAGTTATCTGACTTTTAAGTCTTAGAGGGGTATGGTTTTGAGACTTCCCAACAGATACTGGAAGGATCATTTAAGGAAGGAGCTTTAAATCAGTACAGAATTCTAAGAAGAGAGAAAAATGGGGTTTTCATGTACTAACTACATTTATTAAGTGTGGCTAGTTAAGTTAGAAATTTGTAGTGAGTAAATATAGAAAAATGGAAAAAGACATTGTATCTCTCATTTGCTTTCTCGGTGATGGCTGGTGGCATAAGCTTCAGAAGGAAAACAAGTAGCATTTAATTCACATTAGCATTTATTTTTTGGCAAATTATTTTTTTGGCTGATTAATGGGAACCTCTCAGCACTAGACCAAAGGGAAGAACTATGGCTATGTAGTATAAAATCTGGGGCTTGGCATTTCCAACCTCTAGGCCAAGCAGTGACTTTGTTCCCAATGACCCCTGAATGAGAAGAATTTCCTTTCTCTGTTTTTATTTAATTTACTTTTATTTTTTCCATATATTTTATTTAACTTTTTATGCATGTCACTTTCAGTTCCCTCTCCCTCCCCTCCTCCCCTACCCCCCCAATCCTCCCATCCCATTACCCTCACTCCACCCCCCCTGCACTCCCTAGGGAGGGCAAGGGCCTCCATGAGGGATTTTCAGGGTCTGTCACATCATCCCAGGAAGGGCCCAGGTTCTTCCTCATGTGTCCAGGCTGAGAAAGCATCCCTCCACATGGTATGGGTTTCCAAAGTTCTTCTGTATGCTAGGAATAAATACTGCTCCACTCTCCCAGGTCCCACAGTTTGCCAAAGCCTCCTCTTTGTCACCCAGGTTTGGTGGGAGGGTGTCTGGATCAGTCCCATGCTGGCCCCTCAGTCATCAGTCTGGGGTCCATGTGTTTCCCCTTGTTTTGGTCAGCTGCCTCTGTGGGTTTTGCCAGACTGATCTTGATTCCTTTGGTCATCACTCTTCTATGCAACTGGGTTCCAGGAGTTCAATTCAGTTCACAGCTATGGGTGTCTGCCTCTGCCTCCATCAGCCATTGGATGAGAGTTCTAGAATGGCATATAAGGTAGTTATCATTCTCATTATCATGGGAGGGCATTTAAGGTAGCCTTAATGCCAGTTGGTGTCATTCTTGTAGATCTGTGAAGATCTCACTGGTGCCAGATCTCTCCTCCAACTTATACTGGCTCCCTCTTTTCTGGTATCTCCCATCCTTTTCTCCTCTATTCTTACCCTGGCTCAACCTTCTTGCTCTCCCATGTCCTCCTCTCCCCTCCCTTTTTCTCCCTCTATTTCTCCCATCTTCCTCTACCCTCCCCTTCTCCCCCCCAATCCAATTAGAAGATCTCATCCCCTAACTCTTCTCCGGATTACCATGTATATCACTCTTAGGGTCCTCTCTGCACCCCAGACTCTCTGGCGGTGGGGTTGTGGGCTGGTAATGCCCTGCTCCATGTCTAAAATCCTCGTATGAGTGAGTACATACCATGCTTGTCTTTTTTGTGACTTGGTTACCTCACTCAGGATGATTTCTTCCAGTGCCATCCATTTGCCTGTAAATTTCAAGATTCCATTTTTTTTCCTGCTGAGTAGTACTCCATTGTGTAAATGTACCACATTTTCTCTATCCACTCTTCAGTTGAGGGGCATCTAGGTTCTTTCCAGGTTCTGGAAATTTATAAATAATGCCGCTATGAACATAATTGAGCAGATGTCCTTATTGTATGAGGGTACGTCTTTTGGGTATATGCCTAAGAGTGGAATTGCTGGATCTTGTGGTAGACTGATTTCCATTTTTCTGAGGAATCTCCATACTGATCTTTAAAATGGCTGCACTATTTGGCATTCCAACCAGCAGTGGAGAAGTGTTTCCCTTTCTCCACATCCTCTCCAGTATAAACTGTCATTAGTGTTTTTGATTTTAGCTATTCTCACAGAAGTGAGATGGTATCTCAAGAATTGTTTTGATTTACATTTCCCTAATGGCTAAAGATGTTGAGCACTTTCTCAAGTGTCTCTTGGCCGTTTTGGACTCCTTTATTTAGTTCTGTACCCCATTTTTTAATTGGATCCTTTGGTGTTCTTGAGTCTTGCTTCTTGAGTTCTTTGTAAATTTTGGAGATCAGTCCTCTGCCAGATGTGGGGCTTGTGAATATCTTTTGCCATTCTGTGGACTTTTGTTTTGTCTTGTTGACTGTGTCCTTTGCCCTGCAGAAGTGCTGGGATGTAAAAGACAACAGATAGATCTATATTTATCACTATGCACAAAACATAAGTGCAAATGGATCAAAGACCTCAACATCAATCCAGCCACACTGAATCTCTTAGAGGAGAAAGTGGGAAGTACCCTTGAACGAATTGGTACAGGAGACAGCTTCCTGAACATAACACCAGTAGCACAGACACTGAGACCGACAGACTGACAATTAATAAATGGGACCTCTCTGGGGTCTTTTTAAGAATACAAGGTACTAAGTATATATTCTATATCAAGATTATACAGCCAAATGAAAAGTCATCCTCCTGATTTCTCATAGATATGTGTTCCCAGTAGACTGGGAATATATTTATGGGATACAGACACAAATATACAGGTTAGGGGAAGAATGCAATTAGCACATTTAAAATTACAGGCAGAAGCAACAGATATTTTGGAGTCTGTATTTCTTGCAGACCTTCACAGACAAGTTTCCTCCATCAGAAGTTAATTCTGGTGGGTTGACATCTAGATTATTAATCGCTATTTCTGTAATAAATGATAAAGGCTCATAGCATCCTGCATATCAGATATTTATATTATGATTCATAATAGTATCAAAATTACAATAGGAAGTTACCATGAGATAACTTTATGGTTGGCAGCCACCACAACATGAGGAATTGTATTAAAGAGTTTCACCATTACGAAGCTTGAGAACTTCTACCTTAAAGGGAAGAACAGGCAGTTTATTCTGGAGCCATTTTGTGTGACAATGGCTCCAAGTTCCAACTTGGAAACCGTTTCGTGAAGTTTTGTAATTTTACAAAACGGAGAATGTTACATAAATCAAGGCAAATTTAGTGGATATATCATTGGGTACAAGACGAGGGAAGCTTTCCATAGGTCATCAGATGACATTTTTACCTTTCATTTTGGTGGAACTTAGTGATCTGCTAAGTTAATATATTTTAAGAATGGCTGTTTAGAGGGTTTCAACTATTCTGTGGTAATATAATTATTTCCTAAACTTGCTCCATTTCTCTGTATTTTTTGTTTGTTTGCTTGATTTGGCTTTGATTTTGAAAAGTTTATTTTTATAACAGCTTTGCCTGCCTTAGAAATGGATTTGTAGACCAGGCTGGCCTTGAACACACAGAAATCAGCTGCTTCTTTCTCCTGAGTGCTGGGATTATAGACGTGCACCACCACTGCCCAGCTCACAACACTGTAGTTTTAAGAAGTAAATCAGTCTTTGCACACACAGTTTCTTTCCAGGAATTATCATTCACAAAACCATGGGTAAAACTTATACAGAAGAAAAATTCACCTTATTTCATCTCTAAAAAACCAGTTGTGAATATTTTCACACCCAACTGGTAGACTATAAATTAACTAGAGGGTGTATGATAATTTATATCAGAATTCCTTAATTGTGTATCTCCTTTAATCCATGACTTCATGCATAAAATATCTATCTACGTATGTTCTAAAGTATATCCTATATAGTGTTTTTTCTAAGACCAAAATCGTGCAAACTTAAATGTCAACAGAGGAGGGTTATCTAATTAGCATAATTAATTTATGCTGTACAGAAGTGATTAATAATTACATATGGCTTTGAAAAATTTGTAGACACTATTTATAAAATGAAAATATGCTTATTATTTATCAGAAAAGAATTAGAAACATGGTGTAAATTGGTATGGTGGTATACAGCTGTAATCACAGCACTGAAGAGATGGGGGTAAGAGGACTGTAAATTTGAGGCTCCTCAGGGCTACTTAGTAAGTATGATACAACAACTGTCTCAAAGCAAAGCAAAATGAAATGAAAAACAAAGCCTGAGTCTGTAGCTCAGTGGTAGGGTATTTACTGAGCATGCTCAGTGTTAGATTTGATAACCAAGCAACCTGAAAATGTTAGCAGTAAGACCCCTATGTATGAAATGACATCAACATCACCAGTAAACATTGTCTATAAAGTTAATACCAAAAGTTCCACAGAGGAAATGTGAGTGCTTCAAAGGTGTCATAAAGCACACTTAGCTGTAACAAGCATAATTCAAAAACAAGAGTTTATTTTTCAAACAGTGGCTTAAAAGAAAATTTCTAATAGTCTGTTACAGAACTAGGAGCAGAGGAACATCAGCCACCTCTTTTTGGCAGTGGTTTTGCTAAGAACACTGGGTTTACCTTCTCTGCAGGTGTGCTATCTCCTCGGACTTCAAATATTGAATGTGGGCATCGTTTGCAACATCTGCCATGGTGTGTTGGTTCTTTCCTCTGTTGTCAGAATCTGTTTTCACTATGCAATTTCCTCTTTTCACTTTGCTCAAGAGGAGGGGCAGAAAATTGTGAGCTGGAGTATCACTCAGAGGCGATTCAGTTCTGCCTTTTCTCTTGGAGCATCAGAGAGGTTACAGGCCAGGGAAGGTCAACTTGTGCCTCACTTGGGGGATTAATTCTCGGCTCCAGAATCGATTCCTGGTAGAGACTCAGGTAATAACTGCTTTTACTATTTTTCTATCACATGATCATATGTACTCTGGAGAATTTTAGATGTTGTGGAATGAGAGCAGGAATGCTTGGGAAGCCCAGTTGTTTCAGTTAGATTTGGTTGACTCTGGCCGCATGTGAAAACTGGAGTTTGACATAGTTTATTTTCTTTCTGGGTGTACTGTGTCTTCTGCTGAGTGTTAAGAGAATAAGGTAGAGGTTCTATGGTGTTCATTACTCTTTAACCGGGTCAAATGTTAATGCACAATTCGTCTTAAAGAAATCACAATAGGAGCCAGGTAGATAGCTCAGTGTGTAAAGATGCTTGCTACACAAGCCCGATTGACCACCTGGGTTTTATCCCTGAAACCCACATAAAGGTGGAATGAGAGGACTCACTCGGAAACATTTGTCCTGTGGACACATGTGCACCGTGGTATAGACACTACCCCAAGATCAGTAATAATGAATAACAACTTAAAAATGAATTCTCTAATGGAAAGTTTCCCTTTTTTTCAAAGAGATTAGGGAAAATGTGAATAACTCCAGAAATCTTCATTAAAAACTAGAGAAGAATCGATTAATGAATAGTTTATTTCCCATATTGTCCGTTGGCTAACATCTCAGTTATTACAAAAACTTTAGAAGTCCAGCTTCTAAAATTTTCACTCAGGGTTCAAAACAAAAAAAGAGAGAACTGCAAATCAGTGAAGGAGCTAAACTCTGAGGGTAAAGGGAACTGACTCACACACAGTTTCTTTTTTTTCTCTGTCTCTCTTGCTGTTCTCTGTTTCTCTTTTTCTCTGTTTCTGTTTCTTTGTTGGGGCTACAGCCACATATGTGTTTGCAACAGTTTTACAATACAATGCGAGACTTGAGTTTCTCAGGGTCATCAAGGCAGATAATATTTACACACAGAGCAGTAAACTAAACCTAGTATAAGAAACTTTTTTCTTGCTTTTTTTTCTCCTTTAAAAATTTAAATTAGAAACAAGCTTTTTTTTTGACATGTCAATCAGAGTTCCCTCTCCCTCCCCTCTTCCCCTTCCTCCCACCAGCCCCCTATCTCATCCCCATTCTGCTTCTCATGGAGGGTGAGACCTTCCATGAGGGATCTTAAATGTCTGTCATATCATTTGGAGCAGGGCCTAGGCCCTTCTCCATGTGTCTAGGCTGAGAGAGTATCCCTTTATGTGGAATGGGCTCCCAAAGTCTATTCATATACTAGGGATAAATACTGATCCACTACCAGAGGACCCATAGATTACCCAGGCCTCCTAACTGACACCCATATTCAGGGGGTCTTGGTCAGTCCTATGTTGGTTTCCCAGCTATCAGTCTGTGATCCATGAGCTCCCCCTTTTTCAGGTCAGTTGTTGCTGTGGGTTTCTCTCCAGCCTGGTCTTGACCCCTTTGTTCATCACTCCTCCCTCTTTGCAACTGTATCCCAGGAGTTCAGCTCAGTGTTTAGCTGTGGGTGTCTGCTTCTGCTTCCATCCGTTACTGGATGAAGGCTCTAGGGTGGTAAAATTTTTAGCATCGATTGTTTAGGGCTGTAGGTCAAAGAGGGGGTCTAAGTTTAATTTGCACAAGAAACAAGACCTGGATCCTTTCAGTGCTCTGGCCTCAGTGGCGGCACAGACATTGAGGAAAGTTTACTTTTCCCTGAGGATGAACAAATGGGCTGATTACCTTTGTCTTTATCTTCTCAGAGGAAAGAGAATGGAGCAGTAAATCTCTGAGCTAAAAATCTTGGGTTACTAAAACAAGAATTTTGAGAATCTTTTAGTGCAGGGTTAGTTTAGGTTATCACTTCTCTACCTGCCAGGGTGGTAAAGCCAAGGACATGCTTATATTTTATATCCATCTAGGCAGCTATGAATCAACAATGTCGGGCGTGTAGTAATTCTATGTCCTTGGATATCTGGGAATGTCTTAGATGTGATGCTTTTGCCTGGTTCCTAAACACTGACCAAATACTTGCCAATAAACGTCATTGCAGGAAGGCAGATCTCTGCAGTTGCAATGGAGAAGGGAACAAGGAACTGATAGTGGGAAACAGGACTCACAGATAGCTAAGGAATGTAATCAGTTAACTAGGATCTGTTAATGGAGAACAGGTATTTTTACATAGCTGGGAAGTGTAATCAGTAAAACTCCAAATGCATGGGAGAAATTTGTTCCCAGTAAATGATCAGATGGTGCTGAACTGTGAGAAGTAAATCCCAAGTTTGTTACAGCAGGGAATAAGCTACAGGAAGAATCTACACCAAGAAATAGCCAGTTAATTCACAAGCTTATAATGCCAGTACAACTTTTGTACTAGTTTCATCCATCAGGAGAATCCTTAATTCTTTTGAGTTATCTCATGATAGATGACTGTATAATTACTGTGTGTAGCTTGTAGCAAGTTATCAATGTAAGGGGCAAGGTAAGTTACAAATATTTACTATTGAATAATACAGACACACACACACATAAAATCAGGTTTGATCCTTTTTTTTGCAAATTCAGAATACTTCTTTTATTTAGATTGAAAGAGAACTCATATATATATTTACCTACTACATTAATAAAATATAGACTTCTATATCCTCTTACAATGTCATAAAAATTGAGATTCCTGCTACAATTTTGTCTTTCTCAAGTAAAATTACAAACATTTTGATTCAAGTGAGAAGTTAAAGAACACATTCAGCCAGTTCTTAGTATTAAATATTTAGTCAACCTATTTTAAAAGCTTTATTCAAGATGCAAGTTGATTTAAAAAGTAAACCCTTTAAATACCTAATAAGATATATTTTCTTGTCAGCAAATTTAAAAAGCAATCCGTATCTTGGCTGACACCACTCATTTTGTTCCAATTAAAACGAAATATAAATCTGCAAAAGCAATTTTGGTAATTGCATGAGCAAAACAAATTCTGACAAAATGAAAGGTCCATTCATGTTTGCCTTAATCTTTGCTGCACTGCAAGCCTTGCTGGGAAATAGTGTGAATGTCACCATGACCGGCACAATACAAGAGGAAGCCCCACTGCAATTAACTCAAAAAGCACTCTTTGTCAAAACAGGCTCCTATTCCTATAAACTCTTTTCCAATGGCTATTTTAACTCAAGGTGACCATTCAAAACAAGGAAAGAAAAATGATTAAATCATTGTATTTAAATGTATAAAATATTCCTTACATCATTTAGAACTCTCTATAACACATCTCATGTGTCCAAAAGTTCAGATTTTAGAGAATTCTCGATGCCTGTTCTATCACCTACACAGCATTGACAAGAACATTGTTCTTGGAAATTTTTGCCCTTCAAGATAATGTCATTGTGACTCATTTGTCATTCAAATAAATAAGAATATATGTACATTTTGCAAATTCATATGTATAGTTATTTTACTAATATTTTCATTTTGTAAGGGAAACAACAGAAATTACATTAATCATTTCAGAATTTTGAATACCAGCAATTAAATATTTCCCATCATTAATATATTAGTGTCTACATATCTTGACTTTAGACATACACTTGATATTTAAAATCATATTAATATTGAAAGTCAGTAATTGATAGTTTTAAATATGGCTATAGGAAAAAGAAACAAGGAAAATGATGAGGAAGAACGTATACACTTTCATTGCAATAGAGACTCATTAGCCAGCATATTAACCCATATCATTTTATAAAGCCAGAATAATCCTACAATGAATTCCATTTTTACAAGAGGCATCATATTTATTTCTGTGTATGGGAAGTAAATGAACAGTTTCTCAAAGCACTCACATACAAACTGAAACCAAAATTGTCTTTCTGCCTTATGGTTTTGTCAAAGCATTCATTTTCTTGTTGTTATTCCTATCAGATATATAAAAATCAAATCACCTTTGTATGAACATTAAGTTAAAGATAAAATACAGGGCATACAAATGATGCTTGATATATACTAAATACTTTAAAAAATTTTAACTTAGAAACAAGCTTGCTACGCATGTCAGTCCCAGCTCCCTCTCCTTCCCCTCCTCCCCCACCCCCAGCAATCCTCCCAACACCCACACCATTCCCCCTCAGCTCCCCAAGGAGGGTGAGGCCCTCCATGGGGGATCTCCAAAGTCTGTCATATCATCTGGGGCAGGGCCTAGGCCCTTCTCCATGTGTCATGTGGAATGGGCTCCCAAAGTCCATTTGTACACCAGGGATAAATACTGATCTATCAGATTGGATCCTTTATGGGTATTAACCAATCACTGATGAGTGACAAAATTAATTTTTGTATAAGCTCCTCTGGCAATATCATACACTAGAAAATGATATGTGAAATGATCATGTACATGGAATAATTTGGGATTAAATTTCATGTTGTATCCTGTAATACTCCTCTCTATTGCCCCCATACCTCACCCATGCAATACCCCTTATTACTTTCCTGGTTGCCACAGTTACTTCAGGTTATGTAGCATGTCGGAAGACTTAGAGACAGGAGCCTCTAATGAGAGAAAAGATGTGTTTTTTTTTGTCTTTCTTTGTTTGGGTTACTCTATACTGTAGGATCTTTTCAAGTTGCATACATTTACCAGTCATGACTATGGAGAAGAATGTGCAGGCTGTGGCTGGTTGAAGAGGTTGGACATCTCAGGTGTTTGGGCTCAACCCAAGAAATATTTATATATTTTAGATCCCAAAATTTTAACCGTCTCCTATATTAACATTCAAATATTCTTTTTGAAATGGTGTATGGGAAACCTGGATAGATACACATGATGGAAAAGACTGCAAGAACATTTTAATATTCATGTGTTTATCAAAATGTGTAAATAATTTTAAAACAAAGAATTTTATTTATTCAGAAATCCTTGAACTTTTATTTGAATTGATAATTTAAAAGTGTTTCAGTGATTTGTGTTGGTAGCAATTTTGCCTGACAATTTTATATATTTGTAATATTTTAAATAAACAGGGTGTTTCAATATTGCAATGCCTTACTAGTATGTTTTAATTCTGTATTTCCTCATAGTAACTGCTGTGACTGATAGAGGTATAAATGACTTTAACAGAAATCTTCAGACTTCTCACTTCTAGTGGAAATCAGGGTCAGTCCGTGTGATTTAGGATGTTCAGATCACTAAAGGAGTTTATCAGACCTCACCCTTCCTACTCCACTGCAGCATCTGATCCAGGTCCCTTCCTAAAGGTGGACATTTTAACTTCTTCTCTAGAAATCACTCGAACTCGGCTTTTAACACAGACTGTACTTCACAACTCGCAAGATGAGTGATGAGGAGATCACTTACTCAACTGTGAGATTTCATAAGTCTTCTTCAGAGTTACAGAACAGGCCTGATGAGACTCAAAGGCCCAGAGAACCTGGCCACAGAGGTAAGTGTTTCAAGTGTCTGAATTCACCTGTTTTTTATGCATTGTAGCTCTTGGCATTTGAAAACAGTATCCTACTTGCTTCTATTAAAAACAGCAGTCCTATTTCTAGTTGTTAGCTGGTAACAAAAGAAAGACTGATGGGCAGAGCAGAATAATGGGAACTGGTAAGAAAAAGTGTTCTTGAGAATGGAGAAGCAAGAAGTGAATACATTCTGTCAAATTTGAGAAACCATTTGGGCTTCTTTTTAGTCTAGTAAAGAATTCTGTTAAAAGTAACATACTAGTGTCTGAAGAAACACCAAATATTCTAGAGAAATAAATCTTAAGGAAATGCAAAGTATGTTTTAGAAACAACACTTTTGCTCTAGCAGAGGGTGTTTTCACTGTTTTACATGTTTCCCAACATCTAATGCAGTGAAGCAACAAAAGTCATACATCAGAAGAGGCCATCTCTCCTTTAAAGAAGGATGAAGATGAAGAGAGTGTAGTGGAGGTAGGCATGAGTAAACTACACTGTGCATTTGACAAAAATATCAAAGAATATTAATTAAAATTTTCTATTCTATTGTTACTCTCACTTTGTGCACGCTCCAAGCTGAGAACTTTAACTGTGACTAGGTGGTACCTAGAGGTCTGACTTTTAGATTTCCAACACCTTGGGTTCACAAAGATGTTTAGTATTGTCTAGAGAAAAATAGAACTTATGGAAAAAAGGGAGAGTTGACTTCTAGGTCCCTTTCAGGAATGACCTGTATACAGGTCAGCTTCAGAACTGCCATGGTTCTCAAGAGCAGCCACCCCTCTTTCCGTCCTCTTCACCTTCAGTTAGGCTCTCCTGGTGGACCACATGCTCCAGTTTGGAGTTTTCTACTTGGATAGTGTCTGTGTCTCCAGTGCTTTCTGAAGGATGCACTTTGATCCTGTAGAACTGGGTGAAGGGCATGTTCCTGTCATCCAGCTACTTCTAGGCTGAGTTTGGAGGACTGAAAATATAAGGCCAAAGGAGAAAAAAGGTTGAAATCCTGTGAAACCTCATACCTGTAGGATTTCTATAGTGGGTACATTTTAGGTAGAAATGTATAATTTTGAAAGCACATTTTCATTCAGTTTGTATGATGGACTTCTTAAAAATTTTAAAGTCCAATGTCCCTTGTTTCCATGCTCTGCAGAATTTTAATTAGTAGTAGAATGTGGCCTTTTCATGGTGATGATTTTCTTGCTTTGTTTTGTTGAATTAAGAGTGTTCAGTCCGCTGGCACCTCATTGCTATACCTCTTGGAATCCTTTGTTCCATTCTACTGGTGGCCATTGCAGTGTTGGTGACATACAGTGAGTAACTGATACACATCTTCTTTGCCTTTGTAAGTAATAACTTCAAATGCTAATGCATGTAAAACACTGTGTCTATTGGTCTGCTTATAATCAGGGGATTTGACAGTTAGCTCTGGACTTTTTATGTTTTCTTCCTGACACTACAGTGTCCTGTTCTCTTAAATACCTAATCTAGTAAATCTGGGGCTTGGGTCCTGCCTTATTCTGTCTCATTCATGGCCATGTTCTGTCTTTGACCTTGGTATTAGTCTTCTTTTTGAGCTCAGGTTATTGTGAATCTTAGGGAAACATTCTGTGAGAAAGAGCTTTGCAAAAGAAATGACTTCTTTTCAGTTTTTTCTTCAATGTATGTTGAGGACATGGTTAAGTGAAAAAGACTAGATATTTACAGAGACATTAAAGCTTCAGCCTTCACGTCTTTAGAGGAAATCACTCCCAGGCTGTGCTAAAACATAATTATATGCTTGGATACCATGCTTTCCATCTGGTCCGATGAGAACTGTGCCATATTTTTCATGCTTATTAATTTAGATTTCCAGAGCATGCTAAGTGATTGTTGAATATTTTATTTAGGTATTTATTTGTAAGTATTGGTCTGTGAAAAATGAAGTAATTGAAAGATATATTACTTCTACCATAATTTTATTCAGCTGTATCATATACTTCACACTGAATTTGTAGATAGAAATTCATGTTTCCATTTTCATAGTGGGTTAATTGAAGTGTTTCTTTCTAAATGCCAAAATAACAAAGTACTGATATGTGTTGAATGTCAACATGGGCTTTCTCTTTTATCTTAAATTTCAATATTTATAACTTATCAATATTTTTGGTGTTATATGTCTGCTATTAATTTTAGTTTTTCAGTACAGACAAGAGAAACATAATCAGGAGAAGATTATAAACAACCTCTACCAAAAGTATTACAGCATTAAAAATGACAGCTACTTAAAAGAACAAATTTTTAATAATAAGTCTACAGAGTGTGATGCCCTCAAAGATCGTCTGAACTCTGTCAACAGAGAATGGAAGAGATGCTGTGGGGAAACTAAGATTGTTTTAGATTGCATACAGCGCACAGGTATGGAGGAGATATTGAATAAAGAATTACATTATTCTGCATTGCTTTTTCTCAATAAACTTTGAAGTCCAATTAGCAGATTATGATGGGGTTGCTTTACTTAATGTAGGGGCCTGGAATCCCAGAAATTCCTGTCTGATTTGGGAGAATCTTATATTTTCTAGAATTTCAATGGATATTCTGACTCCTAATGCCCCTAGGGGATGGAAAAATCAAGTCAGCACCCATGAGAATTCAGGTTGTTTTGGTACATGAGCAAATCCAAGTCTCCAAATTTGTTGCTGACAGAAAATGGAAATTTCCAGTAAGAGTCAATTTATCAAATATTTAGGCTAAACACTCAGGATTTACATACAGTCATAGAAGTGTGTGTGTGTGTGTGTGTGTGTGTGTATGTGTGTGTGTGTTTCCTTCTCCCTTGGTTTCAAATAGAAGGCTTGTTTGTGATGAAGGTATTCCTCCTGCAGTGCACATGGGAGCTTTCCCAAGGTGCCTACACTCATTAATCTCAATTAGTGACAGTTAATGATGCAGAAAACACAAAATATCAAGTGTTACAAGGAACTTTTCTTACTTTGCACCATGACTAATTGGCACAGCTTGTCAATATTTATTAAATATTTGTTCACAGTTTATGGTTAAAAAGAGATTTTATATGTTCTCAGAGTGTTGTGATAGTAGGAGTTGACAGTCTTCATTCAGAAAGACTAATATTATCTTTAAAACTGGCAGATTATAAAGTATATAACAGGAAAAGTAAAAGGAAAATCTCCAAAAATAATTTTTGAAGCATTCCAGACTCATTAAATAAGTTTATTATTATTATTATTATTATTATAGAATAAAACAATTGTCATTATTCAATGATAGCAGAATACTGTAATGCTTGTACTTAGGAGTCTGAGGCTGGGGGATTGTAAGTTTGAGTAGAGTCTAGGCAGCCCAGTAAATCACAGGTCTGCCTGAGCTACACTATAGCTCAGAAAAACAAAGGTTGGAGATAAAGTTCATTGATAGACCATGGCCATCCCCAACACCTCCCCCCAAAAAATAATTATACTGAGATGTTGCTACACAAACTGTATGCATTTTAATGTACTCAACCTAACACATATGGGCATGTGGGCATACCATTGGAGGCATTAACACAATCAAAATAACAAATCATTATCTTCAAAACCGTCTTCATGTGTCTGCTAAGGTAAGAAATTTAAGAGAGACCACAGCACAGCTCTAAGTGTACAGTAGCATGTGGACCACTGTGGGTACTGTGCATTACTCCAGATCTAGAATTCCATTATCTGTGCAACTGCCTCTGAGCAGAAGTGCTCATTTTCCTTCCCTCCAGCTCCTGGCATTTTACAAGCCTTTGCTTCATAGAACTGGGCTGTGTTAGAAACCTCTTCTTAGTGGAATCATAAAGTATGGTCCTGGGCCTGGCTTGTTTCACTTTGCATACTATCCTCCAATTCACCCATGTGTCTCTGAGAGACTTCCTTGCATACTTCTGAGAAAGAGAAGAGATTGAAAAGACCCTGCTGCCTCTTTAGTAATGAGTCTCATAAGTGATGTTGTGTTCTGACACTAAGTGAGTAGCAGGCAGGAGTAGCCTGGGAGATGAATCTTACTGCATGGTTGGTTACATTGATCAGCATCTCCATTTTGTGTGTTTGGATGTGAGATATGGTTTTATTCTGCCTAGGCTGACTTGGAATTCACTGTAGAGTTCAGGATGTCCTGGGTTTCACTACTGAGCCAAGGATGGCCTCATACTGATGTGATCCTCGTGAATTACTCTGTGGAGTGCTAGGGTTACAGCCATAAAACATGCCTGTCAAGATTTACTTCCCTTTAAAGACTAAATAGCTTTCCATTTTGTGTATTGCTACATTTTCTCTACATATATATATATATTAAAATTTAAATTTAAATTAGAAACAAGGTTGCTTCACATGTCAATTCCAGGTCCCTCCCCTCCTCCCCCGCCCTTCCACCAACCCCCCAATATCCCCTCATTTCCCCAGGGAGGATGAGGGCCTCCATGGGGGTGTCCATAGTCTATCATTTCATCCAGGGCAGGGCCTATGTCCTCCCCCAAACATCTAGGCTAAGAGAGCATCTCCCATTGTGGGTTGGGCACCCAAAGTCCATTTGTATACCCGGGATAAATACTGATCTACTACCCAAGGCTCAATAGATTACCTAGGCCTCCTCACTGACACCCCTATTCAGGGGGTCTTGATCAGTCCCATGCTGGATTCCCAGCCATCAGCCTGGGATTCAAGAGCTAACCCTTGTCAGGTCAGCTGTTTCTGGGGGTTAAACCAGCCCAGTCTTAACCTCTTTGCTCATCAGTCCTCCCTCTCTGTCACCGGATTTCTTGAGTTCAGCTCAGTGTTTAGCTGTGGGAGTCTGCCTCTGCTTCCATCAGCCATTGAATGAAGGTTCTGTTTCCCAGACTCTCTGGCCATGGGATTTTTCTCTGCTTTTTCACCAGGAAAGAACACTAAAGTTTTTTCATTATCTATATTGTGATAAACAATGCTGCATAGAGCATGAGTGTGCAGGGGTCTCAGCATTCTAGAAACTCAATTTCTGAGAGCTGTGAGATTTTACTTAATTATATAGTTTTAATAAATACATTTTTTCTGATAACAAAGTACCAGAAAAATAAGAATTGTAACCGTCTACCTTCTCTGTTGTAGGCAATCGTGTTGAAGGACACTGGTTCTGCTGTGGCATAAAATGTTATTATTTCCTCATGGACAATAAACCCTGGCATGGATGTAAGAAGACCTGCAAGGACTGCAGCTTATCCCTTTTGAAGATCAATGATGATGCTGAGCTGGTATTGTAGACTCTTAAGTGCTTCTTTATTCTTAGATTCCTTCTTTAGCAATTGGATAATGAGATTTGAGCCTAGGCAGGTATTTCAAAAAAAGAGAGTACTTCAGGGGTTGGTTGTAGGTGGTTTTCCTGTAATGTGAGAAAAAAATGATGCATTAGGAGTTTCCCAGTCCATTCCTTTCTGCTCTCCATTTGGTGTCAGGACACAGGGTCTCTTATGAGGAAACTCGTTATGAAAGAGATAGTTGTCTTTGAAATCTCCCTTTTTTATGAGTTTGCAAGAGAATTCCCCACAGAAGCATGCCATTCTCTGATGAAGTTTAACCATTTGGTGCAGCACATACTATGAGTGACCGTTATTTATCTCTGTAGAATGCCACCTAAATCCCCAGAAGCAGCTGTCTAGGGCTTGCTCTTTGGAACCCAGAAAGGAGGCTGCTTGAGATGGGTAACTAGGTTACCACAGGGAAAGTAACTGTCTGGTCCAATCTGCAAAATGGAAATAATGGGAGAACTGTGCAACTAAACAGTTATACCTGTTAATCCGTGGGATTTTCACCAAATCTGTCCACAATACTTACTTCCTAATATTCTTTATGTCATAAAAGATGTCTATGTTTACAAACAAGTATTTGAAAGAAAACAAAGTAGCCAAGATACCACTGATGTCTGATTTAATTTATTACTAAAAATACGTAATTATATTTTTTTCTAGAGAAATGCGTGCAGGATCAGTTTGAAACTTTGTCATTTAGAATATGGTGCAAAATTTGCATGCCACTTTAATACATTTAACAAATTACAGCACAAAATTATTTTTAATGTTGATAGGGTAAATATAGTTAAAGTTGAGACTGTAATCTAAAATATATTCTGATACTTAGCGAGATATCATGCCACTTGGATATTGCATGTTGGATACATGAAATGTTTTCATGAAGTTTTGTCATTTTGGGTCTGAACTACAGCATGGCTTCCTCTCTGGAGAATGGAGTTTAGGTCTAGAGATTTTCACATAGGACTTTTCATCTTAATGAATTTGCTTTGAAGACAGGGGACCATTTATGGTGAACACTTCCCACATGCTTCTATAGTGTTCTGGAAAAATTATTTGAATAATTTTATAAAATGACAGAAAGTATTTAATGAGCTAATGTGTAGTATATTCTTGGGAACCTGATGCAGGGAGATTATGAGATGAAGATTAGTCTTGCATATACACTGAGACTTTGTCTAAGAAATACAGTCACAGATCATTTAATGAATTGAGTATCACTGGACACTTGAAGATTTCACACTAAATAACTTATGAAACTGACATTGGCTTTTGATATAAATGAGCTACTAGTGAGAAACCACTTTAGAAAATGAACATGGAGGTACTGAGGGACAAAGGGACAGGACAGCAGAGAATTAACACGGTAATAGCTGGGAATTATTTTGGTCATTTTTTCTCACCAAACAGAACTATTATAAGATGTGTCGTTTCCTTTACAGACATTCCTTAAGTCCCAACTTCATCCAAGGAGTTACTGGATTGGATTGTCATATGGTTGGAAAGACAAAGAATGGGAATGGATTGACGATGGCCCATCTAAACTGTGAGTTTCCTGAACCCCCACACTCTAACGCTGGTGCAGGACGTGGGAGGGTGGTGTGTAAAGGCTTTTCTCTCATTTCACAATGCTCTCCTCAGTTTCTGTGGATTTCAGAGGTAAGGACAAGATGCACAGAGAAGTGTCTGAGCAAGTGTTAGCCAGAGAAAAGGAATGGTCTAGAAGTTGACTGCTAATAATGGAATACTGAACACAGCTCAGGATTGTGTATTCTCAGTTGCACAAGGCATAAAAAAATAACCAAAAACTTAAGAGCACATAAAGTCAATAGAGCATCATGACAGACACAGTGAGTATGAGTACCTCAGACATTCACTTGACTTGTTTCTGTAGTTTCTTATATAGTTATTTATAAATAAAAGAAAATGTTTATATATATTAATGTATATCTATCTATCCATACATATACATATATATATATCTACTTTCCATCTCATGGTGTTGTACTGTATAAGATCTAAGGTTTATGTTCATTTCTGAGGTGGTAGAACACTGTTCAATCATTTTCTTTATCAATAATATTTATCTTTCTTGAAATATATTGAAAAGGTTTGTGCTTTGTAGTGGCACATGCTTTTAATCCCAGGATATGGGAGGAAAGGAGAGGGGGAATCTCTGCGTTCAAGGCCAGCCTAGTATGTTGAGTGAGTTCCAGGGAAACCAGGGCTGCACGGAGAAACACTGTCTTGAAAGACTACCTGTTGTTGGTTGTTTTACTCTTTTGGGGGATTCTCAACCATGCTCCCAAATAAATCACACACATGGAGTTGTATTTTGAGTTTTAATTACATTTTTCCATAGAATATATTTTGATTAGGTTTCCCACCAATAAATCCTCCCTTATCCTCCCCATCTCCCTATACATCTAACTTCTTGTTCTCTAAACTCACTCTGTCCCCCAAACAAAAATAAAACAAAAAGTGAAAAATCAAATTAAACATGATACCCAATAAAAGAAAAAATACTAAAAACAAACAAACAACAACAACAAAAAACCCAACAACCTAAATCCAGTAAGGAAACTGTCTGTTTTATGTTTCACAACAGTGAGCTTACTATCTAGTGAATTTCCATAAAATCTTTTCATACATTCTTCCCATTGGTCAATCCACACTTTATCTTCTTAGGTTCCTTAACCTGCAGTACTTATCTACATTTGATCTTTTAATTCTCAGAATACCATCTCTACTTTCATATTCCATATTTATCATTCTTCTTTTTTGTTAATGTTGTTAGAAATACTAAATATTGAAATTTCTCCCTAGGAATACTATGTTTTTCATTAAATAATTTTGGTATCTAGTTGTATTTTTAAGTTGCCTTTTATAGCATTTAAGACTCATTTTAATTTTTGTTGTGTTGACATAGGAATTTATTTCAGCCAGGCTGGCCTTGAATTCCTCATTCTCATGTCTCCATCTTGAAAGTGCTGAGATCAAAGGCGTGTGTGACTGTTCCTGCTCTTTTTCTCTTGAAAGATATCAGCCATTCTTATTTTACATGTGTTAGATGATAATCCTAGTCTCAAGTTCATCCCTCTCTCTCTATGGTCTTATAACTGTAGCACAAATACTAAAAACCAAGAGACAGATATTGGGATAAAGCTGGAGATTGGAAAAGAACAGCAGCCAAGTCACTAGAGAGTTCTTATCTCTACCGAGGCCAGACCAAAGCAGGTGATCTGACCTCCTCAGAGTGACTTAGCTCCTGTCTCCTTCTGTCTATATTCCTCTCTAGGGCTAGGATTAAAGGCAAACACCATCACTGCCCATTTTTATGTGACTAACTAGTGTGTCTACTTGGATTAAAGGTGTGTGCCACCACTGCCTAGTCTTTCTGGCTAGCTAGTGTGGCTAGTTTTACACTCTGATCTTCATTCAAGCTTTATTTGTTAGAATATAAACAAAATATCACCACATTTCATGTTTTTGTCTAAAATAAAAAACAAGCTTATAACTAATATAAGAAAAACTATATACAATAAATACAATAGCAGTACACAATTTACAGGCAATAAATACAACAACAATGTTTAGTCCCTTTGCATTTGACAAATTCAAAGAAATTATTCCATATCTATCTTATCTTGGCGAGTCCACAAAGTTGTACCTAATTCAAATTCACTTTTTCTTATAATTTTCATTATTTAGAGAAAATATTCCATTATCTATCTTATCTTGATGAGCCCAAAAAGTTGTACCTAATTCACTTTTTATTCTAATTTTTATTATAAAATTATCTTTTAATGTCTCTCAACCTTTTACACTTTACAACTTTTTAGTGAGTTTCTTTTCTGAGTCTGGTAAACAAGAAAAACTATAACTATCTAATATTCAGCTCCCTCAGAGTCTTGAGAATGAAATACTATCTATTGAGTAAGCAGGAAGTACAAGAAATGGACTTCCAAAAAATGTGAGACATGACAGAAACAGCTAGCTGCATGAACAGTCACCCAAGGTTCTCCAGCAACCTGGGGCATCCATCTTTTGACTAAAAGCCTAAAATACTTGACAGAGTTTTTATGAAGCAGTATTATTGAAGTACTGTCCTGCTTTGTCTTGGCAAGTTTTGGCAGTCACTCTCTTTTGTGTCCTGCTTGTCCAATTGGGATAGCATATTGTCAGAAGTCAAGGCAAAGGCACTTTCTTGCCCACTGTCTTACTTTTGCCACAAAGAAAATAAAATCCATGTGGAGTTTCTTGGATGTCCCTGATCTTCTCTGAAGTACATTGGTGCTGCCAGGAGCAGACATGTCCCGTTGTATTAAAAAGAACATATGTCATTAAAACATCTTAAATGTTATATTCTGTAGATTTCTGAAGTGTTTGAAGATGACCTGTTTATCTGAAATAGATCTCTTTTTGACCTTGAAAACAAACATGAGACTGCAAGTTTGATTGTAATATGTGACTAATTACTAAATGCATTTCTTTATTGTCCTATATAGTCCGTAATAATAAATTTCAAGAAATAGAAATTTGCACTACATTGTTAAATGAGCTGTATAGGTACAATGAACAATATTAGAAACATGTACAGTATGTTTTAACAAAATTAATCTCAAATTTGTATCAATGTATAACAATATACAAAATCCAATTCCATGTAAAACATTTAAAACTAGAAGTTGTTTTTTAAAAACAAATTCAATAATCTACTTTCTATCTTTTCATATATATATATCCTTCCTTTTTTCTTTTCAGAGTAGATACAATAATCTACCTACCTTTTTAAAATCAAAAAAGAACCTTGAATCTAATCTCTTTTGTTTTTTTTTTCCTGAGTCATTAGTAATAGCAACTTTTGACCAATCCCCCTAAACATTGATAAATATCCTTAACCCAATGAAGACCAAAAACCACCTACCCTACCTCTCGGGAATGTGGGCATCATGTTGTTAAATTTACTTCCTGCTGTCTGAAGGCAGCAGTATCTCTTGGGGATCCTGAAAAGAAAAAAAATTGAGTTAATTGTCAAGTCCTGGGAGAGATAGCTGTATCATTTGTTGTCCAGTTTCTGCATAATGGGAAAGGTGAGGGCTTGTCCCAAGTCCTGCTGGAGTAGTTTGGGAGGCTGGATCATCTCAGCTAGCCACCTCAAAATTGTTCTGAGTAGATTGTAGTTCAAATCCGCCGATCTTTAGTGTTTTTCAGTTTAGTGGTATTATTATTGTGGGACTCCATCTTCCTTTTGGGGACTTCACAGGTCATTATATTAGGCATGGTCATAGTTCACTGGAGAAAACTGATAGAGATTCAAACCTGAAGTCATGTACAGGAAGATAAATTAAGCCTTTTTATAGAATGAGTTAGTACTCTATATGACCATTAATATCATGACAAAAACTGAAAAACATATATATTAATCTTTTAAAGTTTGCGATAATATTTATTGTAGGGAAAGATTTTATGTATCCTTAGCACTAACCATTCCCATGTGGGTCTATTCAGGGGTACATAGAACACAACTGGGGGACAAATAGAGCTGGTGGGGGTAGGAATAGACACACTTTCTCTTTGGGTTTCTGTTTTGACCTGGAGGTCAGTGTGTGGACCTTTGGTTCTCAGCTTTCTGGCTTTTCAAGTAAGTGATTTCTCTGTCAACAAAATATCATAGGGCATCCATATTTTGTGTAGTTTAATATTTCTGCATCAGCTTATGCCTTAAGAAAAGTTGTTGCTGGGAGGTGGTGGTACATGCCTTCAATCCCAGCACTCGGAAAGCAGAAGCAGGCATATTTCTGTGAGTTCAAGGTCAGCCTGGTATATGGAGCAAATCCTAGGACTGGCTCCAAAGTTACACAGAGAAACAGAGAAACCTAGTCTCAAAAACAAAACAAAACAAAACAAAAACAAAAGAATCCAAAATAAAATAGGAGGAGAAAGAAAGAAAAGCTGTTAAATTAAAATATTTGCTTTTCTTCTTCTCTTCCATATCAGATGACTCTTCAGACATGAGAAACAGATTAGATTTTACTTTAATAAGCGTGCTTGCATTTAGAAAAGGAGAAAGCCACACTCCATCTCCAAAGCCAGCTTTAATCTTTAATTGGAATGGGACTACAAAAAGACCATTTTCATTGCATGTCTGTAGAGAACAATTGAAACAAACATTTGGGAAGATTTATGAAAATTTACCCTGTTATAAATGTGATATACCAATCAGTCAATTCACTCTTTTTCTTGGATGATTTGTCCTTTTTCTTCAGATGTCTCATTTGTCCAGTGGTCTTCAGACTCCTTAGCTGGATGCCTTTATTCTCCTCTAAGGACAAAAACAAAACCATTCTCCACCTCTTATTTTGGGGAAATTCTCTTTTGGCAAGTTATATCTGATCAAATGAAAAACATTTATTAGTTTGATAGGTTAGTTTATATTAAATGGCCATGCTGCATGATGAACTATCACCTATTTTGGTTTATCCTAAAAAATAAAAAGAGATCTCTCCTGTTCAAATAGAATCTTTATCAATTGTGATTATACCCATAGCTTTTCTTCTCCTGTGAAAGCAAAAGCAAAAGCAAAACCCCTTCCCCAACATAACACATTTCCTGGTTTCCATTCTGAGGTCAACACATCTTTTTTTTGTTTAATTAATTATTTATTTTTTTATATCATTTTTATTTTAATTTTACATAGCTTGTTTTACATGTCGATCCCAGTTCCCTCTCCATCCCCTCCTCCGCACTCCCCTTCCCCCCCCCCCCCAGCCTCCCACCCTATTACCAATTCCTTCCACATAGGGGATATCTAGAGTCTGCCATTTCACTCTGGGTAGGGTCCAGGCATTCCCCTAAGAGTCCAGGCTGAGAGAGCATCCCTCTTTGTGCTATTGGCACACGATGACTGTTTGTATTCCAGGGATAGACACTGATCCACTGCTCAAGGCCCCATAGGTTGCCCAGGCCTTCTCACTGACACTCACATTTGGGGGGGGTCCAGATCAGTCCCATGTTAGCCTCCCCGCTGTCAGTCTGGGGTCCAAGAGCTCTCCTCTGTTCAGATCAGCTGTCTCTGCTGGTTTTGCCAGCCCATTCTTTGCCAATTTGCTCATCACTCCTCTCTCTCTGCCACTGGGTTCCTTGGGTTCAGTTGAGTTTTTAATTGTGTGTTTGCCTCTGCTTCCATCAGTCACTGGATGAAGGCTCCCAGATGGTTATAGACATCAAGTTCATTATCAGGAATGGGCATTCGAGGTGGTCTGTGAGTTCGAGGCCAGGCTGGACTGAGGTCAACACATCTTTAAAGTATAATGGTTGATTTAATTCTGTAGCTTTTTCTATTATTTAGTGTCTCTCTGTAGCTGTGATTCCTTTCTCAGTAGCATTTAGAAAATTCAAAGTTAATAAAGCATTATGCAATTTATTTTTGGGTGTCTTTATTATTCCTTTCTGTTTATTTAGCATAACCTTTAGAGTTCGATTTGAACTTGATATAACTGCTGGCCCTGTCAGGGAAGTCAACCAATCACCATGTTTCAGTCAAGACTCATTAGTTCTCAGGAGGGGGAGGAAAGAGGAAAACAAAACATTAGTCACAAAGCCTTATCTATGACTGTATTCCAAATCTCATTTTTTTCTTTTTCTTTTTGGTTTTTACGAGACAGGGTTTCTCTGTATTGTTTTGGAGGCTGTCGGTCCAGCCCAGCCTCGAACTCACAGAGATCCACCTGCCTCTGCTTCCCGAGTGCTGGGATTAAAGGCGTGCGCCACCACCGCCCGGCTCATTTTTTTTCTTAAAACGCAAAAATAGGAGACCCTACCCTATATGATACACATTTATTTATTTTTTATCTGTGTTCATTGCAAAAAGAATCATTGGAAAACATAGTTAAAAATTATATACTAGTGACACTAAATTGTATTTTACTTGAGGACAAAAAAACTAACTGTGTAAAACAGATGAGTTGATTTGTGATCAAGACATTTCTATTTTGTATTTTTATTTCACCTTTTATTTCTGTGTAAATGTATGCACGCTTGTGTGTAAATGCCATGCAGAACATGTGTAGTTAGATGGTAGCAGAAGGAGTCACTTCTCTCTTTATATTGTGTGGTATCTGGTCTGAACTCAGGTTGTCAGGTTTGGTGACAGTGGCTCCTATCCACTGAGTTATGTTGTTGGCCCAGGGCCATATTTTTTGCCTTTTTTTATTTTTTAAATTTAAATTAGAAACAAGGTTGCTTCACATGTCAATCCTAGGTCCCTCTGCCACTCCCTCCCCTCCTCCCATGCCCTCCCACCAACCCTCCCATCCTCTGTGCCCCAATCCCCACTCCTTTCTCCAGGGAGGGTGAGGCCCTCCATGGGGGGTAACTATAGTCTGTCATTTCATCCAGGGCAGGGTCGATGCCCTCCCCCAAACGTGTAGGCTAAGAGAGCATCTCCCATTGTGGGTTGGGCACCCAAAATCCATTTGTATGCCAGGGATAAATACTGATCTACTACCCAAGGCCCCATAGATTGCCTGGGCCTCCTCACTGACACCCACATTCCGGGGGTCTGGATCAGTCCCATGCTGGATTCCCAGCCATCAGTCTGGGATTCAAGAGCTAACCCTTGTTGGTCAGCTGTTTCTGTGGGTTAAACAAGCCCAATCTTGACCCCTATGCTCATCAATCCTCCCTCTTTGTCTCTGGGTTCCTTGAGTTCAGATCAGTGTTTAGCTGTTGGAGTCTGCCTCTGCTTCCGTCAGTCATTGGTAGAAGGTTCTGTTTCCCAGGGCCATTTTTTATGACTTTAGAGAAAATGAAAAACCCTTAATGATACTCTTATTTTTAGTTCCATGATCTGTAAATTATGGTCAATGATTTTTGTTTTAAAAATCATTATCTGCTTTAGTGTAATATTCAGAAGTAAATAACTGCCCATTATATTTTTTCTTTTATAGTAATTTGACATGGCTGAAATCAGTACGTTATACAGGAGGCTGTGCATTTCTCAGTTCAAAAGGTGTAGATGATGAGGACTGTGGTAAAACCCATGGCTGCATATGTGAAAAGAGAGTGGAGAAATTCCCTGATTCAATGTGCAGCGCAAGGTAAAGATGTGCAGGAAGGTAAAAATAGAGATCTGTGTTTTGTTTCCCATGATGATTTGGGATGACTTAACAACTGAGTATTTTATTCACAGGTCTCAGTTGGCTGTGCAAGCTGAGTGAGGAGTTGAAAAGGGAAGGTATTCTTCTGAAATCTGGCTTAATAGAGCGGCAGCCTACTTCCTTCCAGGTGCACAGAGCAGCTGTGTCTGGAGAACAGAGCACTGTGCTCCTAGCCCTGAGCAAACACACTCTTTATTTTATGAATGACACACAGAACCAAATAGAAAACCCTGATAATAGCACACATATCTCATTGTTACTTGGACAAACCATTTCTATATCCCATGACTTTGACAGTATAATTAACAACTATGATGCAGTTGTTGATTTCTGTTTCTTTGTTAATTGGTTGTTTAATATTTGATATTTTTTACAGATAGAAGAATTTATCTCTAAAAACATTTATTTTCTGTAAAATATGATTTCAGACTTGAAGTTGCCAAACTAGTTCAATGAACCCATACAACCTTCCATAGTCCGTATGTTCTCCCCTCATTTTTCTGATACATCTGATAAGTTGAAACCCTATAGATATTAATTTAATGTCATCGGGATGTGATGTCTCAGACTTACAATCTTATAGATGCCTGAGTCTGAAGGCTGTGTTACCTACATAGTTAAATTTTTGGGCATCATGAGCTATAGAGTGAGATTCTGCTTCATGAAACCTAATAATTATGACAGTGATATTACTAAGCTGTCCATACATCATTTTTAGAGACAAGCTATTTTTTTTACAATATCATACTGAGATGAAAAAAACTCAAGAAATGTCGTATTGATATAGTAGTATGTTGTAATCTATAACCCATATCCACATTTGTCATTTTCTGGAGTATATCACTGTTGGTTAGAAGCATGCAATGCATTCACTTGTAATGTCCTTTAGTTCTGAAATGGTTCCTGACTTATGCTTTTTTCTGACATTAAAAATGTAAAATATGGTGTTGGAGTATGTGTGTAATATAATGTTCCCACTGTAGATCATAAAAATATACACATTTTAACAAATATGTATACCTATTGTAGCACCATTGAAAAGAGTTTTGAGTCACTCTGACACAAGCTAGAGTCATCTGTGAATTGGTACTCTCAATTGAGAAAGTGTCTACAGAAGTTCTGACTGTAGGCAAGCTTATAGGGCATTAGTGATTGATGTGTGAAAGCTCAGCCCATTGTGCATATTACTACCTATGGGTTTGTGTTCCTGGGTTCTGTAAGAAAGCAGTCTGAGCAAGCCATGAGGAGCTCCCAGAAAGATGCACTGCTCCATGGCCTCTGAATCAGCTTCTGCCTGCAGGTCCTGCTGGGTTTCAGTGCCCATCCTGACTTTAAAGGACTGTGATGTAGAAATATAAACAAAGTAATCCCTTTCCTTGCCAAGTTGTTTTGGTCATAATGTCTATCACAGCAATAGAAACCCTAACTAAGAAAACCATCAAACTCCAACAAGGCTAGTTTGTATCTCCCAAAAGTTCTTTTCTGTTTCTTGCCAACCCCACCTGGCCCCAGGCAAGCAGAAACATGCTCTCTTGTACTGCAAGTTAGTGTGGTCTAGTCCCGAGTGCCATATACTATGCACAGATTTGTATTTGACTCTATTTTCTCTGATTAATATCATTATACTTATTATTATATATCACCATCATCATTATCTTAGCTCAATCATGCTTTTTTTCACAGTTAAAAAGCACATATTTGTTCACAAATAACCATATTTCATCTTTCACATGTGAACACATGGTGTCCTTCTAAGTTTTAACAATTTTGAATAAAGTTGGCATGTAAATTTGTGTGCAACTCATTGTGTGCAGATACATTTTACTTTTTGTTAGTAAAAATTTAGATCTCTCAAATCAAAATTCTTATGTTTAGCAAAATTTCATTAATAAGGAACTTCTAGCATGTGTCACATGGCTTACATCATCTTACTTTGTCTGCTCCATGGGAGAGGTCCTTTTGCCTCTGGTCTTTGACAACACTTGATATTATCAATAATTTGGAATTTACCATTGTGATGAATTGAGGAATTCTCATTTCTCTAATATCTAAATGATATCGACCATCTTTTCATGTACTTTTTGATCAGTCATATATTTTCCTTTGTGAAATATCTGTTTGCATTTGCTCACCTCTTTTGGGATTGTCTGTCTTCTAGTTGTAACATTGTAAGATATTTTTTGTGTAGATAATCTGAATGAAAAACCTTTGATAGATGTATATGTTATAATATTTTCCTACTGTCTAGCCTAAATGTTTTGAAATATAGCATTCAATATAGAAAATTTGACATTTTATAGAAGTTTGATGAGGTGGAACAATCTTTTTGCACACTATGAATATGTTTTACTTTTATTGGCTATTAAGGAGATGACTGATTTGTAGCTGGGCAGGAGGAGGTTAGGTGGGAAAACCACACTAAGAGAATGCTGGGAGGAAGAAGGGCAGAGTAAAGGGCAGAGGAGTAGCCTGCCAGAGGGAGAGAAAGCACAACATGCCTGAGAGGTAAATGCCACAAGTCTCTGGGCAGCACATAGATTAATGTTAATGAATTAATTTAAGTTGTAGGAGATACTTAGTAATAAGTCTGACCTATTGACTGAGCATTTATAATCAATACTAAGACTCTTGTGGTTATTTGGGAACTGACTGCTGGGACAGGAAATCTTCACTTACAAATGGTACCCAAACATCTAGCACTCACAGCAACATAAGACTCAAAGCACACAAAAAACGGAGCCAAAATGGGCTTCCTACTCTCATGTTTCTTATGTTAGCTACAGTAAGGAGAAAACACTAATAATCTAAGGGTTTTCATGACAGAATGTCTGCTCCTGACAATTCCAAACTACTTCAAAAAAGGATGATGGACATGAAAGAACCTCCATTTGCAGTTTGCTTCCTTTATGGCAAAAGCTAACGATTTGGGCAAAGGAGTTGAGCCTTTGCCTCAATTGCAGACAGCATGCTGTCCAAAACAAAGAAGCAACTGGCACATGTTGCCAAGACAAGTTAGGACAGTCCTTCAAAATCCTTTGATTCACAGAAAAGTCTGGCAGATATACTGGGCCTGTAGAACAAAGTTGGATGCCACAAAATTATAAAAGAACTTTGAATGACTGTCCATGTAGCAAGGATGTCTCTATTGTTAAGTATTATCACATCCTTATGGGGTCTTTGATGGAGTTGAGGACTGGATAGTTATAGTTAAATTTTTCCTTAGCTATGATAAATGGTAAATAAGCTATTAAGCTTTAGACTCACAAAGATAAGATAGACAATAAAATATTTTCTCTAATATTATCATTCTTATTTGACAACTGTTTTTGTTATATACAATTTTAATATGCCAAAATTAAAACCTTCCTTTTTAATTAGACAAAAGGGGGTAATGTTGTGGAACAATCTTTTTATTTATTATGAACATGTCTTACTCTCATTGGCTAATAAAGGTCTGACTGGCCTATAGCTGAACAGGAGGAGGTTAGGTGGGAGAACCAGTAGTCAGTAGGAGGAATGAATGCTCTAGGTAGTCACCACCGAGGTTTCTCCATGTTCAAGTAATTGTGTAGGTGTTGTCATCAGCAATAGGGCCCTACCATCAGTTTTTGGAGAGCAACTAATTGCCTTGGCAGTGGCTTTGATTGTTTGGGGAAGTACATGAAGCCCCTTTGTCCAACAACTTTATTAGATGTAACCCATTTCAGATACTGGAAAGTTCACTTTGTGACAAGAAATACCAAGTTGGGGCTCTGGCTCTGCCAGTATTTGGTGATTCCATTTAGATTATCTTAATATATATTCCATGTATACATATATAGCAGCTTCCATGTGATCCCTCAAATGGCCCTTAGTTTTAGATGTCCTTCCCACATTTCATCTTTACCCTCCCTTTCTCCTTCTGAACATTTGATTCTCCCATTTCAGTCCACTCCACTCATCCATAACTATTTATCCTATTTCTGCTTCCTACATTGATTTATCCCTGCCCGAGTTCCTTACTCTATGGCTAGTATATGGTTATATGGATTGTAGACTTACTGCTAAATTAACTGGTAACATCCACTTATAAGCAAATTTATGCTGTATTTGTAGTTCTAAGTTACTTCATTCTGGATGATTTCCCCCCTAGATCTGTCCATTTAACTGCAAATTTCATTTGTTTCTTATTTAAATTGGAAACAACTTCTTTTACATGTTAATCCCAGTTCCCTCTCCATACCCTCCTCCCCTGCCCTCACTGACCCCCTATTCCATTCCCTTTATGCTCCCCAGGGAGGGTGAGGCCTTCTGTGGGGGATCTTTCAAGTCTGTCATATCCTTTGGAGCAGGGCCTAGGTCCTCCTCCATGTGTCTATAGGCTGAGAGAGTAGCCCTCTATGTGGACTGGGCTCTCAAAGTTCATTCATGTACTAGGGATAAATACTGATCTTCTACCAGAGGCCCCATAGATTAACAAAACCTCCAAACTGACACCTTTGTTCAGTGGGTCTGGAACAGTCCTATGCTGGTTTCCCAGCTATCAGTCTGGGGCTCATGAGCTCCCCCCCCATGTTCAGGTCAACAGTTTCTGTGGGTTTCCCCAGCCTTGTCTTGACCCCTTTGCTCATTACTCCTCCCTCTCTGCAACTGGATTCCAGAGTTCAGTTCAGTGTTTAGCTGCGTGTGTCTGCTTCTGCTTCCATCAGCTACTGGGTGAAGGCTATAGGATGGTATATAAGGTAGTCATCAATCTCATTATCAGAGAAGGGCATTTAATGCAGCCTCTCAGACTATTGCTTAAATTGTTAGTTGGGGTCAACCATGTAGATCTCTGGACATTTCCATAGTGCCATATTTTTCTTTGAACCTATAATGGCTCCTTCTATTATGGTATCTTTTTTTTTTTTTTGCTCTCCTCTATTCTTCCCTTGACTTGACCTTCCTGGTCTTCCCTGTTCTCCTCTCCCCTCCTTCCCTTCTCTTTCTCCTAACTTCCTCTCCCATCCCTCCGATACTCCCAGTTAGATCAGGAGATCTTGTCCCTTTTCCCTTCTCTTTGGTACCGTGTAAGTCTCTCTTAGGATCCTCCCTGCTTCCTAGCTTCTCTGGCAGTGTGGACTGTGGGCTGCTACTCCTTTGCTCTAGTTCTAAAATCCATATATGAGTGAGCACATATCATTTTTGTCTTTTTGTCACTGGGTTACCTCACTCAGCATGGTTTCTTCTAGTTGCATCCATTTGCCTGTGAATTTCAAGATTTCATTGTTTTTATTATCTGAGTAGTACTTAATTGTGTAAATGTACCATATTTTCTCCATCCATTCTTTAGTCGAGGGGCAGCTAGGTTGCTTCCAGGTAATTGCTATTACAAATAATACTGCTATGAACATGGTTGAACAGATGTCCTTGTTGTATGAATGTGCATCTTTTGGGTATATGCCAAAGAGTGGAATTGATGGATCTTATGGTAAACTGATTCCTATTTTCCTGAGGAACCACCATATTGATTTCCAAAGTGACTGTAGGAGTTGACACTCTTCCAGCAATGGAGGTGTGTTTCCCTTTCTCCACATCGTCTCCAGCATAAACTGTTGTTGGTATTTTTATTTTAGCTGTTCTGACAGTAGTAAGAAGGTATCTCAAAGTTGTTTTGATATTGCATTTCCCTGATGGCTAAGGATGTTGACCATTTTCTAAGTGTCTTTCAGCCATTTTAGATTCTTCTGTTGAGAATTCTCTGTTTAGTTCTGTACCCCACTTTTAAGTTGGATTAGTTGGTGTTTTGGTGATTAGCTTCTTGAGTTCTTTGTGTATTTTGGGGTTGGTGAATGTCTTTTCACTTTCTGAGGGCTGCTGTCTTGTCTTGTTGACTGTGTTCTTTGCCTTACAGAAGCTTCTCAGTTTAAGGAGGTTCCATTTATTAATTGTCAGTCTTAGTGGCTGTGCTACTGGTGTTATGTTCA